ATGTGTGTGCGTGTGGCTGGGACAACAGGGGCCAGAGCCAAGGAACCTGGGCCCCTTCCAGTTCCACCTTTACGATGGCAGACACGGGATGAATGGGCCTCTGACCCGGCCCCTGACTGCCTCCAGGCCCTACACCAAGTGAGCCTGCCAGCCAGGGAGCCAGCCTGCCGAGAGCCTCCGGCGCGAGTTCCTTCGGCCTGAGGACTGATCATGCAGCCGGCACAGGCCTTTTCAGAGGGCAGCCTGCTCCAGGAGGGTGAGCTGTGCCTCACCATGGCTCTTCCCAACTCCCCAGCCACTGTGTCCCCATGTGAGAAGCCGAGACGGTCCCCTTTGAGTGGTTCATTTCCTCCTCTCTAAAACAAAGAAATACCTGTTCGGCAGCTTCCCAAAGTCACGGTAATGATCAAATGAGACGTGATGTGACAGCATTTTGAAAATGGAAAACAAAGCAAAACGCTTCACACAAGGACCAGGAGATACAGGAGACTGGGGCAGCGGGGGCACCCCCAGGACGGCCGGCTCTGCTCTGATAACTGGAGGCTCAGTTCCTGGACCCTCCTTCACCCTCCAGGCCCGGCCACGGTTTACACGGCTCTTGTGGGAGGCCCAGCAGCCACACGAGAAGACGCGGCCAGGCTTCCTTCAGACAGGTACCAGGGCCTGGGGAGAGTCGGCCAGAGCTTTGGGGAGGCCTTTTCAGATGGAGAAGCAAGCACAACACGTGGCCACTGCTCCTGCATGGGTCCTTCCTGCGGAGCCGAGGCTGGGTCCCCGGCAGCAGCGGCCAGGGCAGGCAGAGCTCCCAGGGGACCGCTAGGACCCCCACGCCCGAGAATGAGTGGGGCCGGGTGCAGCAGCCCCTTCCTCCCTCCCTCCCCCGGCCACCCTTCGGCACACGGGCTAAGACACAGCCATCATGAACACGCACTCGGAAAACCAAAGGACGCTACGAACCGCGGATGGCACTGCTATCTTCCAGCTTTCCCCTCAAGGATTGGGAAAAAAATTGCAATTAAATTACTTAAAACTCTACGGTGCTCAGTTTCACCATCCGAGAATTCGACTTTTGGAGGTGGAAGGAGGCTGTCCTGTCTGACGAACGATTCTCTGTCCCGGCGTCAGCCGGCCAGCTCGGACGCGTGGGGCCCGGCCTCTGCTCTGCCTCCAGACCGCCCTCTGCTCTCGCGGGCTCACAGCTCCCCGCCATCGGTGGGTCCCAGGACACTTAGGCCACAAGTCCAGTCGGTCACAAGGTCTGTGGGGGCCAAGGGTCCTTTGGCGGCGGGGCTCTTGAAGGGGTCCGGGGGCCCGGCGGGCAGCGGCGGCAGCGGCTGGCCCCGGGCGGGCGCCTTGGCCCCCG